CCCAGGGCGTCACAGGCGCCTTGGCCGTGGCCGGCTTGAGCGTCGCTGCCGTGCGAGGTGCATCTGCTGCATCCCGCCAGAAGGGCATCAAGCCTCGGGCGGCCAAGAGCGTCGTTGCCTGCAACTCCCTGGCCAAGCTGAAGATCGACGAAGTGGACCTGAAGGACAAGCGCGTCTTCATCCGCGTTGACTTCAACGTGCCGCAGGACAAGAAGGACCCGAACATCATCACCAACACTGCGCGAATCGATGCGGCCCTGCCCACCATCAAGTATGCCCTCGACAACGGTGCCAAGTCCGTGGTCCTGTGCTCGCACTTGGGCCGGCCCAACGGCCAGAAAGATGAGAAGTTCTCCATGAAACCGGTGGCCAAGGTGGTCGAGGAGAAGTTGGGACGGCCTGTGAAGCTGATGAACGACGTGGTCGGCGAGGAGGTCGAGGCTGCGTGCGCTGACCCCGAGCCGGGCACCGTGATCCTGCTGGAGAACTCCCGGTACTACGTCGAGGAGGAAGGCAAGGGCAAGGATGCCGATGGCAACAAGGTGAAGGCGGACGCGGACCAGGTGAAGGCGTTCCGTGCATCTCTGGCCAAGCTGGCGGACATCTACTGCTCCGATGCCTTCGGCACCGCCCACCGCGCCCACAGCTCCATGGTCGGAGAGGGCTACCCCGTGAAGTGCTCTGGCTTCCTGCTGGCCAAGGAGCTCGACTACTTCGCCAAGGCGGGGAACATCATAATAATGGCTGAACTGTTGAAGGAAGGACGGGTCGCGGGCCGGTAGGCTGAGGGGCTGAACTTGGACCTTGAATCCGAGCCCGGAAACAGGTGCCATCAGGTGCCTGCCCAGTGAGCTCTCACCTTCCTCACCTCAGGCCTAAACTCCTCCGTTCGGTAATACAGTAACAATACCTTGAATCGATTGATCCTCACAGATGACCCCAGAATCTTATAGGTCTTGCAGTTGCCTTTACGCCCTGAAGTGACTTATGTCGATTCGAAGCGCTGCTGTGCAGGTGGTGGATGCTCCCACACGGCCGGTGTGCGGCATCCTCGGCGGAGCCAAGGTGGCCGACAAGATCCAGCTGATCATGAACCTCCTGGACAAGGTTGACATCATGATCATCGGAGGAGGCATGGCCTTCACCTTCATCAAGGAGGCCGGTGTGGACATTGGCAACTCCCTCTACGACGAGGAGGGTGCCAAGCTGGTGCCCGAGATCAGGAAGAAGGCCGAGGAGAAGGGTGTGGAGCTGATCCTGCCCGTGGACTTCGTGTGCTCCTCCAAGTTCGGAGATGATGGCGAGATCCAGGAGGGCGACATGAGCACCGGTGTTCCCGAGGGTTTCTTGGGTCTCGACATTGGCCCAAAGTCCATCGCCATGAACGACGAGGCCAGCGTTGCCGCGTCCGCGTGTAGGGTTCAAGTTTCTCCAGGTTAGGAGGTGTGGCAGCAGCAATTTCAATATCATGCTACTGCGATCCTCAATCGGATATTGTGGCAGGCGATCAAGAAGTCCAAGACGATCGTCTGGAACGGTCCTATGGGCGTGTTCGAGATGGAGGCCTCGACATGATACGAATAGCACGATGTCGTTTGCAGGATTTCTGTGATGCTTTTGTTGTGTCTTTCCTCGCATGATTGCATCTGAGTCCGTGCATGTCTGTGCCCGCGGCTTCTTGTGGCAGGCCTTTGAGAAGGGCACGAAGCAGATGATGGAGACCATCGTGGCGGTCACCAAGGAGGGCGCCGTCTCCGTCATCGGCGGAGGCGACACTGCCACTGCATGCAAGAAGTACGACACCGTGGACAAGGTCTCCCACTGCAGCACCGGCGGCGGTGCATCCCTCGAGCTGCTGGAGGGCAAGCTCCTGCCTGGCGTGGCCGCTCTGGATGACTCCAAGGCCATGGCAGATGCTTAAACAAGTTTTGTTTTACCGGTGTAACTTTTTCCGAGCTTCGGCCCATGTTCAGGCGGCCTCTGCGATTTTCAGATAGCGCAGGGGTTGTTTTCCGCAGACGCGGAGTGCATGTGGCATTTCGACAGTCATGTCCATGAGCAGTTAAAGAAATGGCGGCCAATCGTACAGCATGAGCCAGGATGTTCCTGTTCGAATGACGTGCAGCAGTGTGCAAAGCTGAGACAAGTCGCACCTGGACGCCGCAGCTGTTTGAGCAGGTCCCCGATATCGCCCATCGCTTCTTCGCACGATGGCTCGCTCGTCGAGTGTCCTTGCAGGCGGCCTTCTGGGTGCCGCCTCCCTGGGTGGCCTGGCCTTCCTGGCTCCCGGCCAGAGCCGACAGCAGATCGAGGTGCAGAGGGAGGTCTCCGTGGCTGCACAGGCGCCAGGCTTCTTGGCCTCCACGTCCAGCACCAGCAGCGCTGCCCAGGGCGTCACAGGCGCCTTGGCCGTGGCCGGCTTGAGCGTCGCTGCCGTGCGAGGTGCATCTGCTGCATCCCGCCAGAAGGGCATCAAGCCTCGGGCGGCCAAGAGCGTCGTTGCCTGCAACTCCCTGGCCAAGCTGAAGATCGACGAAGTGGACCTGAAGGACAAGCGCGTCTTCATCCGCGTTGACTTCAACGTGCCGCAGGACAAGAAGGACCCGAACATCATCACCAACACTGCGCGAATCGATGCGGCCCTGCCCACCATCAAGTATGCCCTCGACAACGGTGCCAAGTCCGTGGTCCTGTGCTCGCACTTGGGCCGGCCCAACGGCCAGAAAGATGAGAAGTTCTCCATGAAACCGGTGGCCAAGGTGGTCGAGCAGAAGTTGGGACGGCCTGTGAAGCTGATGAACGACGTGGTCGGCGAGGAGGTCGAGGCTGCGTGCGCTGACCCCGAGCCGGGCACCGTGATCCTGCTGGAGAACTCCCGGTACTACGTCGAGGAGGAAGGCAAGGGCAAGGATGCCGATGGCAACAAGGTGAAGGCGGACGCGGACCAGGTGAAGGCGTTCCGTGCATCTCTGGCCAAGCTGGCGGACATCTACTGCTCCGATGCCTTCGGCACCGCCCACCGCGCCCACAGCTCCATGGTCGGAGAGGGCTACCCCGTGAAGTGCTCTGGCTTCCTGCTGGCCAAGGAGCTCGACTACTTCGCCAAGGCGGGGAACATCATAATAATGGCTGAACTGTTGAAGGAAGGACGGGTCGCGGGCCGGTAGGCTGAGGGGCTGAACTTGGACCTTGAATCCGAGCCCGGAAACAGGTGCCATCAGGTGCCTGCCCAGTGAGCTCTCACCTTCCTCACCTCAGGCCTAAACTCCTCCGTTCGGTAATACAGTAACAATACCTTGAATCGATTGATCCTCACAGATGACCCCAGAATCTTATAGGTCTTGCAGTTGCCTTTACGCCCTGAAGTGACTTATGTCGATTCGAAGCGCTGCTGTGCAGGTGGTGGATGCTCCCACACGGCCGGTGTGCGGCATCCTCGGCGGAGCCAAGGTGGCCGACAAGATCCAGCTGATCATGAACCTCCTGGACAAGGTTGACATCATGATCATCGGAGGAGGCATGGCCTTCACCTTCATCAAGGAGGCCGGTGTGGACATTGGCAACTCCCTCTACGACGAGGAGGGTGCCAAGCTGGTGCCCGAGATCAGGAAGAAGGCCGAGGAGAAGGGTGTGGAGCTGATCCTGCCCGTGGACTTCGTGTGCTCCTCCAAGTTCGGAGATGATGGCGAGATCCAGGAGGGCGACATGAGCACCGGTGTTCCCGACGGTTTCTTGGGTCTCGACATTGGCCCAAAGTCCATCGCCATGAACGACGAGGCCAGCGTTGCCGCGTCCGCGTGTAGGGTTCAAGTTTCTCCAGGTTAGGAGGTGTGGCAGCAGCAATTTCAATATCATGCTACTGCGATCCTCAATCGGATATTGTGGCAGGCGATCAAGAAGTCCAAGACGATCGTCTGGAACGGTCCTATGGGCGTGTTCGAGATGGAGGCCTCGACATGATACGAATAGCACGATGTCGTTTGCAGGATTTCTGTGGTGCTTTTCTGCTTGTCCTCGCGTGACTGTGTATGCGCTTGTGCTCAGGCATTCGAGAAGGGGACGAAGCAGATGATGGAGACCATCGTGTCGGTCACAAAGGACGGCGCCGTCTCGGTCATCGGCGGAGGCGACACCGCCACTGCATGCAAGAAGTACGACACCGTGGACAAGGTCTCTCACTGCAGCACCGGCGGCGGTGCATCCCTCGAGCTGCTGGAGGGCAAGCTCCTGCCCGGCGTGGCTGCGCTGGATGACTCCAAGTAGGCCGTGGCAGATACTTTTAATGACTCTTGTTATCATGTTTCCTTTTTCCAAGGTTCAGCCCTCTTGCAGACGGCCCCTGCGATTTTCATTAGTGCAGAGGTCGTCGTTGCTTCCGCCAAAGCGGAGCACTTGTGGAGATTGGATTAGGAAGGCTTCCCATACGCAGTACTCAAAAAGATGCTTGAATCCACTTTTCCCAGAATTAGCATGGTTGTCCCAATCTTCTCCATCAGCGAGCGACCATACCCTCGATTTGACAGCCCAGCAATCGCAAACATAACGCATTTTCGGCATCTGAGACTTCGCAGTCCTGAAAAAAAGGTCCAGTCAAGGCGCAAACCGCAATGCCAGGCCGCCAAGACTGCCTCGAGGGCCGCCTTGAGCCCTCAGCGCGAAGTCAACAAAAGCAGAAGCAACTTGCAACCATCAAACTTGTCTTATAGAATTCCAACCCAACCAAACACAGCACACGCTTTTCTTAAGCGAATCTCGAAGACGCAGCCCTAAGCCCTGACTCGATGCACAACAAAGAAGGCGCCCAGCTGAAGCCAGCTGGCCTGTTCTTTGCTGCGCAACAAATACTAGTTTATTTTGGGCACCTTGGAAACTCTATGCTGGTTGAAGCGAGCGTGTTCGTTCCTTTGTATTCGTGTTTCTCATGATGTGCTTTTCTCAAGCATTCTCGACCTGTAGCGCTTACAGAGCCTCCAAACCGTGGTGAAGACTTTCTTGGCAAGGGCCTGGCCAAGCGACATCACTCCGTTGCATCCGCGGCCTTAGCGAAGTGCTCGAGGCCGCAGCTCCGAATGCTGAGCTTCTTCCTTTCTGATTGCCTGAAGTATCGATTATACAGTACAAGATCTCGATCGCTTCTTCAAGATGATGCAAGATGCCGAAAGGTTGGCTCTTGTCGGTTGGGGTCCAAGTTTCTAATTTGTTGGACTGCTGGCGGGCCTGATGAGCATGTTCTCACTGCTGAACCAAGGACGTGCGAAAGGAGTAGTTACCAAGCAGTTGAGAATCATCCCTGTCACACCACTGCAAGGGCGAACTTGGTCGACTCTTTCGCGGCCTGGAAAGAGACGATCCGGTCCGAGATGCCGTTCGGCAGATGGGAACGAGGGCAACCGTGCATAGGTACACTGAGGTTGTGTGATGAGCACGTTGTGCTTTTGACCATCTACTAATCTACTAACTGGTGTATGTCTTGTCTTTTCAGCCGAATGCTTGTTTTCCACTTCTATCTCGGTGGGGCACTTCGAAGTTCCGCGGCTTCACACAACAATACATGTTGGGACTGCATTGAGCATGTACGGTGAAGAAACTTTCATGTGTCCCCCCCCGCCCGCAGCATGCGAGCTCGGGTTCTGTACTGTAACATACACACTCAGAAGCTCAAACCTTGGCAGCACCCACAGTGCTCGATCCTGCGCCTCATCCTTCCGCCCGTGTAGCAACCACCCCTATCGTCAACATGGTTCGCCGTACGCCCAGCAGGGTTCTGGGTCGCCCCGAATCCTTCCGTGACGTCTTGTCGCGACTGCCAAGCTCCGATCGAGGTTGGCGCACCTGAAGCACGAGCTACTCAGAACGAAAAATTCGCTGAAGCTGCCAGGGGCCCAGAGCCGGATCAGCCTCACCGGACCGAGCGATCTTTGGCTTCGGCTTGCAATCCACGTATGCGTTGCTCAGGTGGTGTAGTGTTTGCATAGAGGACTCCCTGGGGTTCATAGAATTCGGAGTAGCCGAAGGCACGTTCCAACCGTGTTCCCGTTTCTTCTGTTGTAGCAGCACTTCCGAGAGGGACTTCTCGAGTAATGCGGAATTCCCTTCCCGGGGTCCACTCTGCTTTGCTGCGGAGCTACAGGACTTTCGAGCTGGGGCAAGCCGGAACCTAACTTGCACGTGAACCCCTCCTCACAGACGACCCCAAATAGTTGCAAAACACCGCAAAAACCCGACGTCGTCTTTCAGACTTTGCGGTCAATTTCTGAACTGTACGCTGTTTTGAGTTTCGGGTGCTGGATACGGGCCCGTCTGCTAGATTCTGCGCTGTGGTCTTTCCTGACTTGTCGCGAATGAATAACCTTCCTTCTCACTTCGCTACATTCCCGAACCGGAGGAATCCTTCGCCCTGCACTCGACTCACAAATCAGGGAATTACCAAACCCCGCGACCTCAAGCTCGCAATCCTCCAAGCCCAAGCATCCCAAATGACACGCTGGTGTTGCAGGCCCGTACAGCTTATGTCCAAACGAAGCTAAGCTGATCGACGGCTCCGTCTGAAACTCGCAGAGGACTTGCGATGAACAGTACAACGGTATAGCCCGGCCCAGGTTCGAGAAGGAACTCGAGGAAGCAAAGCAACGCTGTTGCCTCGGAAGGGCATACATAGGCTTGAGTCGTCAGCCTTTCCACGAGGACCCAACGTGTAGGTGCTTTGCGGAGCAGCATGTGCGCCCGTGCATAGCACTACCAGCAAAAAAAGATATGCAACTTGAGGAATACATACACATACGTACATCTATCTATCTATCTATCTATACACACACACATATATATATATATATATATATTTATATATATATATATATATATATATGAATGTATGCATATGCGAACACACACACACACACACACACACACACACACACACACACACACACACACACACACACACACACACACACACACACACACACAACACACACACACACACACACACACACACACACACACACACACACACACACACACACACACACACACACACACACACACACACACACACACACACACACACACACACACACACACACACACACACACACACACACACACACACACACACACACACACACACACACACACACACACACACACACACACACACACACACACACACACACACACACACACACACACACACACACACACTCCAATCCTCCCTCTGGACTGATGTAACTCTCAAGAATTTCAATCATTCAGAGGTGTAGGACTTTAAGAGGATTTAGGCTTTACCTCTGGCCTTAAACGAAACTGCACTCATATGGGGTTTATGGCTTGGCCCCAGTGCCATTCCAATGCATTCGCTAGCACTTTACTGCAGGTACACAGAGCTGGCCAAGCTCTGCTTCCCATGAGATCAGGTAGCTTCATTGGACGTGGTCCCTGATCTCATGCCACGTCCCCCTGCAAAAATAGTGCATATCAGCAAACCTTGGCAGACAGGTGTTCCACACACACACCCCGCCAAGCGGGGTAGCCTTTGATGGCATTACAGTGTAGACAGACAGCAGTGCATTTTTTACACTAACAGCGTCTCGATGTTATACAACACCGAACAATGGTGGTGGCGAGTCCCATTAATGGGTACACAGCCTTACATACTGTTAACGAAGATGATGGCCAGCATGGATGCTGGCAAGATCGAATTAACCATGCAAAAATGGACTTTCACGGAGAAGTGCTCCTCTTCCTTTTTCGAGGAGACTCGGAGCAATCAGTGCGATTGGAGGGAGCAATGGTGGTCTCAGGCAGGTGTGAGCTTGAGCTCCACAAACTGTCCGCAGTAAGGCGAGTCTGGATCCACTGTTGTGTGGCGGGGAACCACGTTTTCCACCAACGGTCTTGACCATCAGCTGCCGTGCTTTTGACCAGTAGAAACGCCACGAAATCTGCGGAGAACGAGATCTGCTCCGGTCCGACATGATGTACTCACTAATCTCCACTGAAAGCCACAAACTACGGGAAAAACTTCAGCGATAAGCAGAGCATCAGAAACAGCGAGCAATGATAGACTGCGATGCTGTTCTGCAGCAAGATGACTATGGCATGTCAGCCAGAGGTGAAATGACACGGAAAACTCTCAAATCAGCGATGAGAGTAGAGCTCACGCGAAAACGATCTTCGCGACCGGTGCAGAGCCAATCAAAAAAGATGGCTTTCTGCTGAGATTGCAGCAGCAATTGCCGAAAAGCAATGTACAATGTCCCTTCATAGAGATAAAGAACTGAACGAAGGAAGACTCGGTTTACCGCACCATAAAAGGTGGTTTGTGGCATTGGTGCCGAGTTGTACATCACAGGTACATAAAGTACGTTGGGCCACCCAGGTGGCTGTGCTGGGCACTCCCTTTGTACAAAATGTTCGCGAATGGAACCATAATTGAGGCTACCAAGCGCGAGTGAAGTATCAGCAGGTAGCACAGAGCGAAAACGTTGACGTATGCGATCAGAAATGACACGAGCCGCACTGTCCGGATAGGGCTCATCTGATTCAGATTGAGAAGAATCATCAAGCTCAAGTTGATCGCGATCTTCTTCGGTCCAAAAGGCCGGATTGAAGTAGAAGAAGAAGATATGCTTTCGCGATGAAACAAAAGAGACCACTCTCGCCACAAGGGCAGGTTCGGACATGACCAACGAAAGGGCCGACATGTGGCTTTTGGAGAGAATGGTTTACTGATTGAAGCCGAGGCAGCCTGCAGTTCATGAAAAAATGTCGCAGGGTTTCGGCACAGAAAAATCGCTGTACAGAGACGATCTTCTTTTCTTCTCTTACATGACAAGAGAAAGCTGTAAGGGGCTTTACTCAGGAGTGTAAGCGGATGTCCCATCACCAAATTCTTCGGCAATGAGCCTGACTGGACAAAGATGGGCACGCACATAATGGCATGTACACCTAAAACCGCTTCGAGCCATCATTTTGGCTACTCCTCTACCTTTGTATACCGTGGTGTTGGCTCCAGTAGGGGGTGAAACAGGTTTGCTGTTGCAAATGGCATCAAGTACCACGTCACCGGTTGTCATAACACGGGAGGTGGTTATTTCTTTGGCAGCAGCAGAATGTTTCACACCTGCTTGGTCCTTGTCTTTTGAAATCTTTTTGGATATCTTGGACTTGTGCTTCTTGCTTTTCTTGCGAGAAGGTTCGTCTTTGGGACTGTTCGTCTGCTCACGGGAAGACCGAACTTCCTCAGGAGGATCAAACGCAGAATGCCACGAAGACGTCGATGAAACAGGGGAAGGCTGCCGATACTCCACAGCTTCCATGGCTATTGCACACACCGGACCTCATGGGAGCCAAAGGCTTTCTCATGTGATCGTTTATCCCGGCATAGATTTGCATATGCAGGATATTGCAACATTGAGCACTGCGCACAATCAGCATGCAAAATATTTTCTTGCTTGACGAATTAAATCAGCTTGCAATCGAAGCATTTGAAAAAGCTGCCGCTGCTGCCATGAGGTTCTCTGCCTCAGGTTCCTCTGCATCTGGCAGCTCTATCTTAGGGGGTGTTGGAATACCCCATGGGCCCCAGGTGTCGTCTGGAGGGCCATCTGCTAGAGCCAAAGTAGGCTCATTGCCGACAGCTTTGGCTCTAGTTCTACGGCGCTGTCGGCTCTGATGCTGAGGGTAGTCAGCTTTGCTTCGTTCTGAAAGAACGAAGATAAAAGGTAATTCGAGCTGCCGCGAACCGAATTGCCCACCGTTTGTCCGAAGAACAGCTGTGGACCAAAGCATGAAATCTGGCCAGATTGTTCTCATATCTGGTGCATGCATTCTTGCCCTTGATGTGGTTGCTGGGCAGTAGGCCTGCAAAAACCACTCCAGAACAATTCTTAGTTGAGTGGTAACACTTGCAGGCGAGCTGTACAACTCCTGCACCCCAGTTGGGGTTTGTTGTGCTTCTGCCATAGAAGGAAAACGTATCCTCTTGAGGTTCCAGGCCAGCTACACTGTGATCCGTAGGAAGGATCTTGCCTGTAGCCAAAATTCCCGTGACCCCTTCCCTTGTAGTGGCATGTGCCCAAAGATGCCAGTTTTGCTGGGCCAGGGGTGGGCCGGGAAAGCCTGTACACCGAAACCGATAGCCAACTACATTTTCTTCCACATCGTGAAACATTGAGGCACCTTCTTCGAAGTGCCTCTCATAGTGGAGTCTGGACTGCAAAATGCAGTCTACGAAGCCGAAAAATTCTTCTGTGCCAATTGTGTTCGGTGGCACCGGCTCTGGAAACAAACTGAGCAAAAACCGAGCACATCTTTGTCTCTCAGGGTCTTTGAGAGGCGAGAAAGGGCGCTGGTACTTGCGAACCAGTGCCGCTCGGGCTGCATTGCTTCGCAGTGCTTGCCAGGGTGCCATAACCCACTGATCCGGAAACGGTGCAGTCAGAAGTTGCTGACGATAGAAGAGGTACTGGCTCAGAGTGGTCATACCACCTGGAATGTGATCCACTGCTGAAAATCCTGACAGCTGGATTTCCAGCTGATCCTCCACATCATTGATATTGGCAGACATGAGGCCCCGAAAAAATTGATCATCAATCTGTTGCTGGCTATCCGTTGGAGCCAGCTGGTTGGAAGACGATGGCCCTTTCTTTGCGGGCTTGGCCTGCTTACCAGGGTCCGGGAGATCAGCTGCTGGGGCTTTCGTTTTTGGCACCACCGGTTCTGGTGCCGTATTGGGCCTGGCCATCCTCGGCGGTGTATGAGGCACGGCTGGCCGCCTTGAATCCGGAGCCGCAAAAGGTATAGTAGAAGGAGGCGGCAACGGTGGCGGTGGTGGAAACCAGCTTGCAGAAACATTCCCCGGGGGAGCATGATGTGGAGGCGGTGGGGCAGTGTGTGGCAGCAGAAATGGCCTCGGTGGGGGAACCCAAGGCGCTGGTGCTCGCCAATTGCCCGGTGGATACATTGGCTCTTCCCTCCTCGACTGGTTCCTAGGAGGTGTTCGGCTTCGCCGATGCCTCCTTGATCTTCCTTGGGACCTTTCTTCACGACGCCGAGAGGGTGATCTGGAAGGGTATCGTCCACGATGCGACCGGGTTGGTCTTGGCCGTGGATGAGGATGTGGCTCTTCCACCGGAGCCGGCAATGACAAAACAGGTGCTGAAGGGCTGGTTCCTTTGGATCCTCCCTTACTCAAGGTGTCACCACAGAAGAATTGAAACACATAGGAAGCCATGGCAGGGGCACAGAGGATGCCAACTACAAGAGCTTCCAAGATCCAAGCTCAACGTAATGGAAATTGATGCCACTGCACACCAATACGAAAACCCTCAGTGAGCATCAAAGGCAGAATTTTGACACTGTCAGGTCAGCAATTCTGCAGGGAAACCCTTAGCTATGTACAAGTCGCGGAGTCCCTGCAGTTGATGTTTACGGCTACTCGGAGGCCATGCATACTGTACAATCAGAGCTTTCCGAGAAAGATAGCCTGAAATGCGGGTGGACCAGCTACCTGCAGATCTTGGATTTTTGATGGACCAGGCTTTGTCTGGTTGCAGGTAGGTCACAGTTCTGTTGGCCATGTTGAGCCGGAAGCCCAGAAATTGATGGTTCGTAACTTCCTCAAGCTGGATA